ATAGCTGCGGGACTGCAGGTGAGAGAGATTTGTCTGGACTGTGCGGGGCCAGGCAGGACACAGGAAAACTTCCAGCTACATTACCTCATCAACAGCCTCATCCGTTTCTGCATCTATCAGGAGCTCCCACCCAGAGGCTGACCCATCTAGGCTTTTATGGCAGTATGTTTCAGAACAGATTGCTAACATTAAGCGAACAATGACTGTGATAGTCTTTGAGGAGTAACATGGTTACTTGCCTCGCTGCAACAAAAGTCCTTGAGAAAAATTAACTTGAGAAAGGACGGTTGTTTTTTTTTTTTTTAATTTTGTATGTTAAGTTCTTTGCCTGCATCCCTGTCTGTGCACCATGTGCATGCCTGATGACTGTGGAAGTCAGAGGAGGGCATTAGATCCCCTGGAACTGAAGTCACAGATGGTTGTGGGCCACCACATGGGTGCTGGGAACTGAACCTGGCTTCTCTGCAAGATTAGCAAGTGCTGTTAAACACTAAGCCATCTCTTTGGTCAAAGAGTTTTGTTTTTTAAATAGTATTTTCAATTTATTATTTGAAAATTTCATACCTGTATACAATGTATCTTATACCCAATGCCCACTCTCCTCCTCTAACTCCCTCTGTGCCCCCCAACACATCTTCCTCCCAACTTCATGTCTTCTTTAAAACAAAATAATTGAGAGCTCAATTAGTGCTACCCATATGCACATGGCTGTGGAGTCATCCGCCGAGGCATGGGCACCCCACCAGTGTGCACACCTCCAAAGAAAAGAGACTCTCATTCGCACAGCAGCCATCAGTTGCCAATAACTCCTCTGCTAGCTGTGGGGGTTTCCATAACCCCTCCCCCACCCACGCTGGCATTTCAACAGGCTTGATTTTTTTTCCCCCCTGAGGCAGAGTTTCTCTATGTAGCTTTGGCGCCTGTCCTGGAACTGGCTCTGGAGCCCAGGCTGGCCTCGAAATCACAGAGATCCGCCTGGCTCCGCCTCCCGAGTGCTGGGATTAAAGGTGTGCGCCACCACCGCCTAGCTCAGGCTTGATTTTTGCCAGCCTGCATAAACACCTCCTGGCACTTCGAAAGCTAGTGAGCAGGAAGAGAGTATTATCCTAGTTCAAAATCCATTTCCCTGGGTCCTACAACCAAAGTTTGGCTTCAGCAATAGTTCTTCCCATGTGCTTATTGAAAACAACTAAGAACAAGATGTCTGTGCTTTTCTGGGTGCTCTGGGATCCCTCTGACCAAAGCTCATAGGGAACTAACCTCTTGCTGGCCCTGAGACTTTTGGTTATTAACCTGTGTCTTCTGTGACCAGTGATGTCTACCCATGCAAAGGAACCTCTGTTCAAATTACTCCCCCCACCCCTATTTTGAAATTACATTTTAAATTAGCTTATAAACTAGTGGGCTTTCAAAAAGCTTCCTCATACATCCCTTTTAGCCAGCCCAGGAAAACAAGTTTATTTAGCTTATAGTTCTAGGAAATACAGTCCATCATGCCAGCAGGAACTTGGGGTACCTGGTCACACTGTGTCAGCTGTCAGGAAGCAGAAAGAGATAATGCCAACATTCATCTCTTTCTCCTTTTTATGTACTCCAGGACCCATTTTTAAAGTGGGTTTTCCCACCTCAATTAACCTAATCTAGTTACCTCATAGACAGGCCAGAGGCTTGCCGCTTCAGTGATTCTGGTTCCTGGGAAGTTGATAGTCAAGTTAACCATCACAAGGAGTGCTCAGTGCCATGGAGAGGGAGGGGAGTAGATAACATAGATACAAAAGGACAGAACCACAGTGGGCGCCAGGGTTTGTTTCTGAGAAGGCAGGAAAGGCCTCTCAGAGGGACTGTCCGAAGTGAGGGAGCACACTGCTTAAGATGTAAGGACAGGGGCTGGAGAGATGGCTCAGAGGTTAAGAGCACTGACTGCTCCTCCAGAGGTCCTGAGTTCAAGTCCCAGCAACCACATGGTGGCTCACAACCATCTGTAATGAGATCTGGTGCCCTCTTCTGTATATATAATAAATAAATAAATCTTAAAAAAAAAAAAAAAAGAGAAATGTAAACACCAAAAAAAAAAAAAAAAAAAAAAAAAAAAAAAAAAAAAAAAAGATGTAAGGACAGATGTGAGGACACGCTGTCCCTGGCAGAGGGAACTGTTGATTCACAGGCTCTAAGGACAGGGCAAGGCTGGATTTTCAAAAGCAGCAGGAGGCTGGTGTGGCCAGGATGAGCTCATCAAGTAAGAAACGGTGATGGGAGGTCAATGGCGGTCATGCCTGGCCTTGCTGGCCAACAGGGGTTTGTGTTTTACTCTGGTGATGTCATCTTGTTCTGCTCACTTAGCAAATGAGGACCTGCCCTCCTTTCTCATTAAACAAACAGCACACAGGGCCTGTGTGCTCTGTTCCGCTCTGGCTGTCACAGTAGGGCTACCTGCCCTCCTGGTCCTCGACACTCACTCAGTGAAGCTAATTGCAAACTTTATTCCCTTCCTCTGCTGAGGGTATCTCTCTCTATTCTCTTATCAGTCAGTTAGGAACTTCATTTCAAAGCAGCTGTCTAGTGCTACTTTGTGCATTCTACATAGGTCCTTAATGCCTCTCCCCCTCCAGCTCCAGAGCTTCACATTGTACCTCCATTTCAGTCAATAGCATTGCTATAGTTCTCAGTAGCTCTCTCTACCTCTGGACCCACCCAACCGCCAATCTAGTCTCTGTATTGATTAACTGTCTTAACGTGTAAGTTCAGTAATGTCTCTGTGGTTTGGAAATAAAGTGTCCAAAGAGCTTATAGTGAAGGTCTGGTCCCTGGGTAATGATGCTATTGAGAAGACATTACATCATGGAGGTATTAACTTCACTGAAGGGAAATCCATTGGTGAGTTCATGGTGAATGGATTATTGGGCTATGGGGGCTGGCTGAAGGAATTAAGTCATTGGAGCCATATGCTGTTGAAGTACACATCCTGTCCCTGTTTTCTCTCTCTCCCTTGTTTTTAGGCATCATGAGTAACAGCTCTACTCTACCTTGCCCCCCCCCCTCGCGTGCTCTCCCCACCATGATGCTCTGCCTCATCGTAGACTCATAACAATGGAACTAGCTGACTATGTGCTGAGCCCTCTGGAACCATGAGCCAAAATAAATCCCTTCCTCTTGAAGTTCTTATCACGATGATGAAAATCAACCAGTACCTCTCCCCTGATGGTAGCTACAAGCTGTTCCCAAGCTCCCTCACTCTTAGCACTTGGTGGTGACCCTATCACCAAAGTGCCCGCTCTCCTAAAGCTCATGGCATGGTGGCACATATCCGTCATCTTAGAATTCAGGAGACTGAGGGAGGAAAATTGTGATATTGAGACCAATCCAAACTACATAGAGTCCTAGGCTGCCTGAAGTATATAGTAATGCCTATCTCTACTTAAATAAAGGGCCATGCAAATCATTACTCAGGGATCTAATTGCACATTGTTGTAAAGGTTATGACTAGGTGTATGAGAATCTTCTTATCTGTGTATAGAAGGGGCATCAGGGGTCAGGAAGTCTTCTTCAAATTATTAGTGACCTATATCTGCTGTAACAAATTACCACTTAAAACAACATAGGTTTACTCCATGACAGTTCTGGAGGTGTGGAGTCTAACTTAGTCTCAATGGGCTGAAACTGATGTTTGGGCATGGCTGCATCTTCTCTGGCGGTTATAGGAGGAGGCTCTGTTCCCTATTGTTTTCCAGCATCCCAAGGACACTTGTATTCCTTGACTCTTTCCATCTCCAAAGATGGTAATTCCTCTGCTTCTACTGCCACATTTTCTTGGACCCTGACTCTCTAGCTGTCATTTATAGGGATCTCTGTGATAATGTTGGGCCCACCAGGTAACCCAAGGTGATCTCCTTATCCCAGGATCTTATGTTAAGAATCACAACTGAGCACTGCCTTGGTCATATAAGACAAGTCTTTAGGGGATTAAGATGTGGACATCATTGGGACCATCCTTCTGCCTACCACAACGAGGTTTGAAAATGGCCTTGATACATAAATGGAAGCAAAGGGAGTTAATTGATCAAGGAATAGTAGGAGAATGTTCTAGAAGGAAAAATAGCAGGAACAGGGGTCCTGGGGCAGGGAGGAGGAGAAGGAGCTGGAGAACTTTAGAGAAGGCTGGTGTTGTGGAGCCCAGGGTGGAGAAGGAATGTGGAGGATGGGACAGTGAGATTGGGTTGGAAATAATGGAAGATGGAGCCTTCGGCACTGAGGGAAAGGAAGGTGTAAACAATCGAATGTGTCTTTTGTACACATGGAAGCAAGTGTGGTCACTGGGAACCCTCTAAGAGGATGAGGAACTGGAAGCCATTTGAGCAAATGACTTAAAGTCTCCTGATCTCTCACATATTGTCTACAAATCACATGCATACCTTTCCCAGTAGCTTTGATGTCCATTATAATAAGAGAAATTCTGAACACATAAAAGTAGAAGACTGGCAAGGTGGCCCAGCAGGTAAAAGCACTTGCCCTACAAGTCTGAAGACCTCAGTTCAAAGCCTAATAGCTGTGGAAAGGTGGAACGAGAGAACCAACTCCTCAAGGTTGTCCTTTGGGCTTCATATATGCACTGTAGCATGGGTGTACCCCTAATTATACATCAAACACACAGGAGCAAGTGCCCATGCCTGTGCACGCATATACATGTACAAACACACACTTTAATAACAAAGTAAAAATTAAAGACAAAGGTAGAGTGAGAGTTCGTGGATCTATCCATCCCCTAGCTATGGGAGCTTATTAGTTCATGCCCAGTCCTCTGCCATCTGTACAGTCCCTCAGCATTATTTTGAAGCAAGTCTGAAATAGTCCATAATTTTATCCAAATTTCAGATTCAATGTATTTATGTATGGGCAAGTAAATTTTTATCTAACTAGCTCTGTGTGTGTGTGTGTGTGTGCGTGTGTGTGTGCACACAGTTTTGCATGTGGAGGTCAGAGGACAACCGAAAGTCAGCTCTCACCTTCCATCTTGTTGAGGCAATCTCTCTGCTCCAGCTGCAGCACTGAGTATTCTGGGTCAGCTGGCCCACAGACTTCCAGGCAGTTCTGTCTCCATCTCCTAGCTCACCAGAGGAGTGCTGGCATTACAGATACATACCACCACATCCGGCTCTTTACAGGGGGTCCTGGAGATCAAATTCAGACTGTCAGGGCTGTGCGATTAGCCCTTTCACTCACTGAACAATCTGCCTATCCTCAGAGCATCTTAAAAAACAAAAACAAAACCAGAATATTCTGACATCTCAGAAGTCCTTCATGATACATTTGTGGAAATAATCAGCTCACGCACTTAGTCAGCCACATAGGAACAATATTCCTTTTTCTTCTTTGCTCAAGACTTTTAAGCACTTTCCATCATAAAACCCACATCCTCTTGGGGCAGAGGGTTTCTCTTCTGCCTTGGTTATTGCACCCCCACCCAAACCTTCTTTGAATGCTTTTTGCAGGTGGTCGGGACCTGGGAGAACTGGATCCCGTTCATCAGATGGGACAACGAGGCTCCTGCTCTACTCACAGAACTGAGATGCCGGGTTGGATGAGTGCTCCATCCAGCCATTCCCATAGCGCTGAGGGAGAGGGCCCTTTCAACTGAGGCAAGAAGTTCATGCAGCCCACGCTGCTCAAGTCAAGGACACCTGCAGCTAGGCGCCTTCCTTCCCCGTTCCTCTGTGTGGTTGGATGTGAGGGTGGGGGGAGGAGAAGGCTCTAATTACACCTTTCTTACACGCCTTTGGTTCTGTGACTATTCAAGGAGGAGGTTGACATCTCTCCTCTCAAATAAAGACACGCCTCAAAGGTTTCCTCTCTGTCTCCTCTCTAGCAGAGCCTTTGCTGTCTGGTGAGGTTCTGTTAGCATTATCTGCTGCTGTGACACAGCCTACAAATATACTGGCTTAAAGACGCAATCATTTAAATATGGGAACAGACAGATGCAGTGAGTGCCAGGAAACAGTCTCAGATATTGTCTTTTAGGGTTTCCATTGCTGTGAAGAGACACCATGACCATGACAACTCTCATAAAGGAAAATATTTAATTGGAGTGGCTTACAGTTTAGAGGTTTAGTCCATTATCATCATGGTGGGAAGCATGGCAGCATGCAGGCAGACACGGTGCTGAAGAAGGAGCTGAGAGTTCTTACTTCTTGATCTCACAGGCAACAGGAAGTGGTCTGAGACACTGGGCATGGCTTGAGCATATATGAGACCTCAAAGCCCACTTCTACAGTAACACACTTCCTCCAACAAGACCATACCTACTCCAACAAAGCCATACCTTCTGATAGTGTCACTTCCTTTGGGGGCTGTTTTCTTTCAAACCAGCATAGATGTGTCTCTAGTACTCTGTTAAATGGTATATCACTACTTTGTCCTGTCCTCAGTTCCCCCCAACCTGGACTTCTGAGTGTCCTTCTGGTCCCTCCTCTTTATCTCACCCTCTGTGGTTCTGGAGATCTGGTCAGCATCCCCCAAAATATGTTGGTTGAGAGGGGAAGAATGTTTCTCCTTTGAAAAGTCTGAATATTACATCATAGGATTGGGCTACAGATACTGAGAATATAAAAGCAGACACATTTAGTATAGTCGACTGTACAGATGCTCTTCTTCAATACAAATGTCTCCCCATAAACCTATATACAGAAATACCATGCCAACATGATGTAACTAACAGACAGGCAGCACTAAATACAGTCACCTCAATATTGAGAGAGCAAGAGCCCAAAGTCTTGTCTCTCTATTGCATCCGGCAAGCTCAGGCTTTATTCAGATACATATTCCCCAACAACATTCGATTAATCGTGGCTCTTCATGATCTGTCGTCTTTCAGTAAATGGCATCCAGCCATTTTCCAATATACAAGATATGCACTATTAAAACACTTGCTTGAGAATTATTGGGTAAGAGCCCACACGTCTGCTGTGTGCTGTCGGGTAGAAATGGGGAGCTACCTGTTCTTGGCAGTAGGATAAAGCCTTGATCCAGCTAACGCAGATTTCGTGGACGTCTTTCTTGCTGCCCTCCATTGATGGAGGAGGGATAGGCATGGGGTGGATTGCCCTCTGGGAACACAGCTCCTTGGAGATTATTTCCTGCTGGTGATGCACTGTGGGTATCAGAAAAGCACTCACCTGAAATTAATATGCCCCGGCTAGTAATGGCTTAGGAAAGCATGAGCTTCTATTTCCCACACACTATGTATTTGGGAATACAATCATCTGCTTAAAACTGGTGACTCATGGAAATCAGGGGTCTCTGTACTGTGGATCTGTTGGCCGCAGTTCCAGCCATCATGTCTGCATTCAAGGGAGGAGTGAGGGGGAGGTACCTGCTACAGGACATGTACTTCCTCCTCTGTTTTTGTTTTTGTTTTTGAGTCAGGGTCTCATGTATCCCAGCCTGACCTTCGACCCACTCTTTATCCAAGGCTAGCTATGAACTCCTGACCCTCCTGTCTTCAGGTTCTAGGATTACAAGCATGTATCACCAGGTGCACCAGCTCCTATGTCTCCTTTCATCATGTACTTCCAAAAATCTCCCGGAAGTCTCCAGCCAACTTCCTTTTAGATCTGAAGGAGTGGAAGGGTGTCGCATGCCCACTTCCAGCTGGAAAGAAGGCTGAAAAAAAAAGCTAATATCTTGTCTTTTGTTCCCCCAAACAGATTTGAGCCTTAGCAGTTGATCGTAGGGACATGCAGGGTGATACAGCTTTCCAGAGGGATGCAGGTTATCAATTACAAGAGCTAGGAAAGGATGTTAAGCAACAGAAAACAACAGTTTGTTACTGTGATCCAAAATAGACTATTTCTGGATTGAAACAGGTTTTGATCCTAAGGGGAAAAGCTGTGTCTAGGCTTGAAGTAATAATAGATACCTCAAAGGGATTTCCGAAAGTAAAGTCAACGACTATTTATTTTTTAGGATAACATCTTCCTGAGATAACAGACAATGACAACTTGTGATTTCATCAGCAGTTTCAGAAAGGATGCAAAGAGCTTTCAAGCAAGCTGATAGGAGCTTTGCAGCATAATGTAATGCATATGAGATTTCCCATGAGCATCAAAGAAGCAGAGCCCCGCTCTGTGAGGCCTCAACTCCTTCTGCCAGCCTCAGAGAACACTGGGCTGGCTTCCTTTCTAATTTACATAACCACCGAGACTAACGGGCCGGTTAATATCTGTGGGTCCAGAGCTAAGAAGGCTTAGGGGAGATTTTTAGATGAGTCACAGGAGCCAAGTTTCATTATATCCAGGCGGGATTATTCCCCAAGCCATATAAGCTTAATGGCTCACTCAGAGCCTCCAACCAGGGGCTCTTGGTGTAGTGACACTACGGGAGCCGCTGCAAGGTGCAGTCCAATAGAGTGGGTCCAGCAAGATGGGAACAGCACACAAAGGAGGCTGCAAGTATTCCCAGGAAGGGGAAGAAGACACTGCCATTCCAACCGTGCACCCAAGGGAATGAAACTGCCAGGGTGGCATCTTTACTAGAATCCAAGCTAACTTGGAAGCACCGTCTAACCCAGACTTCTCTTCTTCTCCTTTCTCCCTATCCCCATCCCCAGATAACCTGAACTAATAATAGAAGTGATTAAAGGCGCATCTTCTCTGCAGAACAGAATGGATCTGCTGAGCAGCAATGACCCACGCTGCAAAAGAGCTCATGGCTGTGTGGCTGTGCGGTCGCCGGTTGGCGCCACTAAAAAAAGAAAGCACACAGCCCAAGCCGAGCATTACTTAGGCAGTTTCTAGATCCCAGGGCTCTTTAAATCTTTCACTCCATGGGGAGGGAATGGAAATCCTTTTTTGGATTCAATTTTAATCTATTTTCTATTTTTAACCTTTGGAAGAAGAGATGATACCCTGAAAACTAAAAGAAGCTATTATCTTTGCTAAGGTAATTTCAGCTCCAAGAGAGTCTAATCTAGATTTTTTTTTTTTAGGTTTTTCAATTTCTTGCAAATTAGAGCAGATGGTGACACAAAGAGTTGGCAACCTGGGGGGAAAGATCCCATGAGTGCCAAGAAACAGGGCCAGATACGTCAGTGGGGTTCCTTTACATCACACAGCACTCATGCTTTCCCCGAGTCTCCCCCTTCCAGTTACCCCATTCAACACAACTGAAGACCCTTCTAGGTGTTCCTCTCTTTAATATTCCCTCTATAGTTTTGTTTGCCTCTCCACAACCCCCTGTATTTAACTATCAGGACCACAGCGAATGCCACACCGTCTTTAGAAATACAGGCAAACTCAAACACAATGATACACAAGCCTTTCAGGTCCTGGCCTGGCCTCCAGCCTTCCTTCTAAGTCACCTCTGCTCCTCACAGCCAGTGGTCATTGCCTAGCACAGCATCTGTTACACATTTGAGTCATTTCTCCAGCAAATGCTACCCAGCCATGTCAGTCACTCTGTCTCCCATGAAATCCATACTTACACTTCTCCACATTTTGTACATTCAGGCCAACCCCTTTGCCAGGTTGCTTTTCCCATTCTAACCACTTGAGGGAAGGGGTGTTCATGCCTAATCTGCTCACACATCAGCTTTATTCCCCCCGTAGCCTGTCTGACACTCAACTATCCACCCACACAGAAACATGTTGGGTTATTATCCGGTGTTCTGCACTCCCGGGGTGCAACAGCCCCTGGTTGTATGTTTATACAGTCTCACATGCTACAAAGAGATAACTGGGTTCTCAAGGAAACATGCTTTATCAAAATTGAATTATAAAGCCATCAGCAGAGGGAGAAATAAAAAGGGTCGAGGTTAGGGTGTTCAGGGCTCACTGTAACAGCATTAGTTTTCCTGTGGGGGTTTCAATAACATTACGATGCTTTGGAGCTCCCAAAGTATTTCAATGCACACTAAAATATCAAACTATTTGATCTAGGAAAAAAAAAACAACCTCAGAAACCACATACCCATGAGCCTTCCAGGTTGTCTATGACCTTGAGCTTCCAACTCTGCTGACATCACAATTGTGAACACACAGTAAACAAAAGGACACAAAGCACAAACGAATGTACATGTAATCCATATCACCGTGGGTCCTGATGTCGCGTGTTCCTGGTAATTATCCACCTGCCAACTGGGAACTACTTCCTAGGGACTCGTTTATTGTGACAACTACAAACTGTTTTTTGTTGTTGTTAATTCCATATCCGATTTAATTAATACAATTCTTCCAGTAAGAGAATGGCCACTATTTACCTATTTGTAATGTGTTTTCTTCCATCTAGATGAGAAGGAAGAAAACGTGGAAACAGGGTGGTGTTTGTGATCCTTAATCTTTGTTATCAACTTGTTTGGACTGAGACGCATTTATGAGATTAGCAAAGAAGTCTCTGGGTGTCTGTGTGAGTGTTTCTAGAGAACTAACTAATATGTGAAGATCTACCTTGGATGTGGGGGTTTCAGTACGACTCCTGTATCATAGGGTGGGGGCCTGGGTAGAGTAAGGGGAAAAGAGGAAACCTTGAGAGTAGTACCAGCCTATGGGCTAGGGACCAAGATAATGGATAGGAAATAGGAGAAAGCATGAGCACGGGGCATTCATCTCTCTCTGTTTTCTGACTAAAGACACAATGGTACCAGACACTGAATCTTCCGTTGCTGCGTTTTCCCTGCTGAAGTGGACTGTATCCCCTA